ACTGATATATAAAGAACCACAAATTGGATTTTAATGAAACTTTTAAAGAGAACTATGCAGAAACCCAATTAGTTTTTGGTAAATATTTATGCTTATTAATCTCCTAATTAACATAATTAATTAACACTGATATCTCAATTACTGATCATCACATTTGAATAAAATTTGGTACATAAATGCTCTAGGACAATAGACAGGCCTGATTAATTTTGGGTTAAAATTTGTTCATATTAATTCTCTAATTAGCATAATAATTCATAATTTTTTTGTTCTGTTCTGTTCATATTAGTTACCTGATGTACATAATTAGTTTTCAGCTTTTCTATCAATATCTCATGTACAAGTAATTTTGAATTAATTTTTAATGTGTCTTCAATACTCTCAGCACACGGGAGTTCTTTCTAAGCTTTCTTTGATTTGAAAATGTTGTATTTTGGACATGCTTTGTCAGTTGTCATTCAAACTTGCTACATAGATTATACATGTTAGGATACATGTCCATGACGATTTATTTCGCAATTTGATCAAAGATGTGTGTGTTTTATAATCAGATCAAAGAGCTGTTTTTATTTTTGGCCATATTACTACTATATGAATCAAGTGTTTTGATGTAAATAAACAATTTGTTGTATACGCCACTTGGAACTCAAGTTTCAAGGACATGCACGCGACAACCCCTCCGCTTTAATATGACAAGCACAAAATTTAACGGGGACTGTGTCATTTTCAATGACTTGTATATGTACCATATTCACATGGAATTTCATGCTCTGGTATAGGAAGATTGGGGTAATAACAAAAAAATATCCAAATGAGCCGTATACGAGTAAATGTTATTATTATACATCTGTCATCGTAACGTTACAGCGTGCCGTAATTTTGCGGTATTTTACGTGGTATGTTCATCCTACCATATAAGGAAATGCATATTCCAAATATGAAATGATTAATGCGTCCTCTGATAATAAAAACAAACATGGCTGCCACCAGGGTTCGACTGGACTCCACAGATGTATAATAATAATAAGGTTATTACAAGAATACCTCAAAGTATCTCATCGACCTCCACTGCATGTCAGTCGATACTCCAGTTGTACTGTCTTTGTGCATACTTTGAGGTATTCTCGTAATAACCTCATATTATTACAATGTATCACTGATTGAATAAATGTAAAATCAGTTTCAAATCAAAGACAATAAATCATCTAGGATTATTTGGGTATAAAACAGCAAAGTTCCCATCATTTGTATATTGGCCGTAGCTTGACTATTAGGAGTATGTATCTGAATATACTTGCAGGAAGCGGAGACTGTGAGATGTCTATCATTCCATCCTTCCGGGGACTTCCTTTTGGTTGGAACTCAGCATCCCACATGTAAGTTTATTTAGTTGTATTCTTTCCATTAGGTGGCCTGGAATCCGGAAATTCTAAGTACTCTCACGAATGGCCTGGAGAATCGCTATGTAACTATGTAGTCATCACAGAATTCTGTGTTATCACTGATTTGCTGTCTGGATTTGGTTTCAATACATTACCACAGGATTATGTATTCGCAGTCTGATGTGTAGCTACAGTAATGTCAGCCCGCAACACCTCATGCTAGGCTGTTATAAGTACATTTGTTAGAATAATTAAGATTTTCAGCGACATTTAGCTTACAATGGAGGATGGGAAGGTTAGAAAAACTGGAGAGAGGCAAAGAGGGGGAGATGATTGGTTAGCTTGTCAAATCATTGGAGGGTGTCTACATGTACATCATTCAAAAATTTGCTAAATTTGACTCATGACTGTATGTTTCTGGGGACAACAACTACATTTTATAACCAATTACAAATATGGGGTTTAGCCATGCCAACAGTGTAGCCATGCCAACGGTGTAGCCATGCCAACAGTGTAGCCATGCTAATAATGTGTACATGTAAATATGCCGTCAATGTAGTCATAAAGAGTTTATACATGTAGTCTTGCCAAAACTATTTTAATAAATACAGTAGAAAAGACTTTGAAAAAGCTACATGTCATTTTAGCAAATTTGGCTCAATGCACAAATTAACAGATTATTAATTTAGCTAAAATGTCAACAATCGTATTGTGAGAATATTTTGAGTGCAATTATAGGTTAAGTGGTTAGCTAAAATATCATGCTCGCTAAAAAGACAAGTTTTACAGTAATTTGTTGTATAATGCTTTCTGTGTTTATATTTCTAGTACGCCTGTATGATGTGAACACATGTCAGTGCTATGTAGCAAGTAATCCTGATGAACAACATACTGCGCCTGTTACTGCTGTAAGTATCACTTGGATTCAGTCTACTGTAAAATTAATTTTACTGGAATTAATTTTTGGGTGTTTTGTATGAAATTTATTTTCACTGATTTTTGACAAGTTGAATGTAAAATATAGGAAAAAAAGTATATTCGCTGGATTTTATTTTGACTGAATCATCCCTTCAGCGAAAATAAATTCCAAGTGAAAATAAAGTATTTTACAGTATACAGTGGGCTCCAATTTTAATGCTAAACTCTCAGAAACAGTGCAGAGAAAACATCCAAATATTTTTTGAGGGCACCAAGGCTTGTGGAGAAATGCCTTCCACAATGAATTGCTTTTGTAACTTGTACCTTACTTTAGAAAATTTCTTTACTATAATCTAACCAGAAACTGACTAAAATTAGAATATCAGTGAGATTCTATCGAGATTCTTATCAGAGTCTCACTGTTTTCCTTCTAATCTAATCCACATACGAATATCTGATCTGAATCTCACTCCAGTTCTTGCTAAAGTTTTTACTGGCAAAAATTCTAGCCAAAGTTTGGTTCACATATTTTTTTATGACTTTCTCAAATTTTAACATTAGTTTAGGAGAATTTTTTATTGTAACAGTTGTACTCAATAATTGATTATTGTAATCAACAATACACACAATAAATCAGGCTGAACTAAAAATTTAAAAAAATGAATATACTGGAAATGAATCCTACTAAATTGTTTTAATAAATTGTACAGGTTATTGACCTGCTGTTGGTTTGACACACAAGTTCAAATAATGGTTATGTTGTCATTCAACTTGACAATTGCTATTGCTATTCAATCTTCCACACTATCTCGTTTAATCATTCATTTCAATCAATTACCATCTTAGTATATTACAATATGTTTATGTTTTATTATTCCTGTAAAGGTTCAATTCTGCCCAAATGCCAATATATACGCTTCATGTAGCAAAGACGGCACTATTAAAATCTGGGATGGTGTTAGTAATAAATGCGTCAATACTTTTAAGAATGCACATGACGGTAATGAAGTATGCTCAGTGACCTTTGCCAGAAATTCAAAGGTATGTAAAGATCGATATGTAAGTAAGGTGCGATATAAGGTTGGATAATCTATCCACATGAGAGAAAAATTTGCTAAGTTTTATATCAGTGAAAATCTTTTTAGGGTCCTATGACTAGAGTGTCGGTGACTTTTGTGAATTTTTGTCTTCACAAATGCAATAAAATCATAAATCATGAAAATTCTAGTATTCCTTCATCCAAGAGTTGATTTTTGCATCATCAATAATGCATTGCGATAATTACCCGGTATGTTAAAAGAAATCCAGCATTCTTTTTATATTGTATTGTTTATTTACATACTTGTTTATTTACATACTTTTGGTAGCATTAAAGATTTGGTAAACAGCAACACATTCAGTGAATAGTTTTGTTTCCATGGCAAATTTATTTAGTGTATTGTGACAATCTCTTGTTCATGATCATGTACATAGCACAGCCATTGTACATGCGTGCATCATAGACAGTGTTCTGTAAATTTATTTTGAAATTAATTTACTCTTTCCATAAAAATCTAATCATAATTTCCTTGTTTCGTGATAGACTGCATTACATAAACGACTCTGATTTCATGAAAGACAAAAGGGCCTGAAACTGTAATGGCCGTCAAAATCTCATTAAGAGCGAGACCTGTTTTTGCAACTCAAATAGTGTTCATTCTCTGTTCAATTATTGCGTCCACTGTCCCACTGATCTTTATGATCAAAGTATTTCGAACAGAAGATGATGGGTAAAAGAAAAAAACTTTATTTGGGGGGACAAAAAAGTCACATGACGTCTAGCTCTAAATGATCATAAAGTAAGAAATAGATTTGCAGTATATCAGGCCCTCAATGTGGAGTACCAGAAAATCTTTTCTTTTTATGAGGCATTTCACTTCAACGATAATGGTCTAATCTGAAAATGCAGTTTACTAGCTCTTTCTATCATTGTCTTATTTGTGTTTTCAGTATTTGTTGTCAAGTGGTAAAGATTCCCTTGTGAAACTATGGGAGATATCAACGAGTCGTAGTTTGATCACGTACACAGGTGCAGGATCTGGTAAACAGAATCACAGAACACAAGCTGTGTTCAATCATTCTGAAGATTATGGTGAGCGAGTGTATATTTATCAATAATTTATGCGTGAGTGTACCCTCGAATACGCCTGGATCATTTTCAATAATATATGCATAAGTGTACCCATGAATGCAACTAGAAAGTTTTTAATAATTTATGCGCGAGTGAACCTTTGAATACGACTGAACACTTTCAATAATTTATGCGAGAATGAACCCTTGAATACGACTGGAATAATTTATGTATTGCATTATGGGAAAACACAGGTGACTCTTGGCTTGATATGTAAAAAGAAAAAAACTTCTAGCTTGTTTTTCTATGCCCACTTATATTTCTCACAAGCCATTTCCAGCATGCATTTCAAAGTCACAGGTTTGCCACTGAATCAAATAGACTTTGTGATACTGAGAAATAGTTCAGACTCAGATGAAAATTGAGACATGTGTTCTTTTCTACATCATGCATAATTGTTGAATTAAATCAATGTATTAAATACATCTCATTGAATTTCAGTTCTGTTTCCTGATGAAAAAACAACTAGTTTATGTTGTTGGGATTCCAGGAATGCTGAGAGACAAAAACTCCTTTCACTTGGTAAGTCAAGTACTTATTCTGTTAAAATGAGTACAACACACAGTGTTGTCACAATCAAAGCAAAATTTGCTGAAATAGTTCTGTATATTATAATTGTATGCATGTGTTGTTAGTATACTTGTGGTTGAACTATTAACTGGTACACAATGTAATGACTTTCTCTTCAACGATTCTACTTTCATACTTCTGATGGTAAACTTCATTTCAGGATTTTGCGACAAGAAGGGGTCTCAGTTGTCTATTTCTCAGTACCCATGTAAAATCTGTATTACCGGTAGAAGCACCCATTCCTTTTGAATAATTGAGAATCAAAAATTCATCATGTCTCATATGTGTAGGTCACCTAAGGTGCTCTAATATAAGCTGCATCCCCTCTGTTGCATTGTACCGGTACTCTTTTAATAGAAGCCATGGCTTCTAATACAGATTTTACAGTACTTCTCTATCAGGACTTGTTACCTAAAAACGCAATATTTACAAGCTTTATTCAAAGTGTGCGTTTGTTTAATTTGCAGGTCATAATAATGTAGTACGCTGTATAGTTCATTCACCTACCAGTCCTGGTTTCATCACGTGTAGCGACGATTTCAGAGCAAGGTTCTGGTACCGACGATCAAACACTGATTAGTTTACAAGCAGTTAACTGTGTACCTTGTTACAGTGACTAGATATTGGTTTATACCATTTGAAATCAAGGATCTGATCACATGACCACCTAAGAAGACCTTTTTCCTCCCGACTCGTGGAGAGCACTGTATTAAAACTGCTTTAATTTTGCAATTTGGGGAAAACTCAAAAAGTTTTTAAGCAGTAAACATACTGCAACCTTTAAATGGAGACTGCTACAAATTTGTAAACATTACTTCAACATAATTTTGAAGGCTCTACAAAAATGAAAATTCTAAACTTTTATGAATAATCGTAATCTTTTGTCTCAACCTCAATTAGTAACCGTTTAGTTTGTGATGTTTAACCGGGCAGCAATTCAAACTTGTTTGCACTCGCAAGAAAAATCCCAGGTGAATAAAAATAAAAAGTATATCTCTTCCCAAGTCCCAGTGCCTCGCCAGATTATCACTTTTTCAGTAATTCCATAAATATTTAGTCTTAAATCCCATACACAAATTTAGAAGAGGAAAACATTGCATTGTGGGAGTTTTTTTTATAGATTTCATTTAATTGTAACTGTCAATACTTTTGAGTGATATTAAAGTGAATTTTTTTTTTTATATTTGAAATATAAACGTATCTGTGTTTTTTTGTACATCTTCCTAAAGATGTGACAAACCAGATGAGAGGTAAATTGTGAGCAGCTTTTTTTGATCTGTAGTACCACGGTAGCCCATCAACGATAAATGTTTTTGACCGATTGACTACAGAATCAAATATGTGTACATCACTGGGAATGTTGTAGCTTACTCCTATCTACCACTCAGAAGCGCCTAGTTGCTAGAGGGGAAGATCCACATTTCTTGAATTTTCAAGGTATAATGATCCAGCTTACCAACTCAACATATTCGTAGAGAAGAAATTCTGAACAGGTATGAAACTGAAAGCGACAAAGTTTCATGTGAAGTCTCACTATTATGAAAACTCGCACATCACAATGTTTGTCTTTCATATCTCAACTTGTATACTTCATTTGTGTAATTTTGCAAATGAAACTCTTACATAATCGCATATAAAAGCATTTTTAGTAATAAAGAATAACATTACTTGACTCGTTTTTGGAATTAACACACCTGTGAAGGATCATAAATCGGTAACCTCACTGATTTTTTGCATGGTTGGTATAAGACCAACCCATTATTTCAAGATTTTAAATAGAGTGGTCCAATGGGTATAATTGTCTTTTTATAAACTTCATCTTTTAACCATAAAATGATTGCTTATCATTTACTTGATACCACCATTGAATCAAGAAATGAGATAGATATCACTGCAGTATAAATTATCAGAATTTCCACGATTTGTATTATTGGACATTGATTTCTCTGAATCTATTGGTATACCATTTTGAACCCTATCAAATTCCTAAGTCTGCTATATTTGTTTTTGAAAAGTATACTTTGCAATATGTGATGTCGGAATGTCAAATTTACCTGGCAAAAAAGTCTGGCAAAAGACAATTTTTAGAGGTGCTGAAAATTCTGCCAAATTACAGCGGGTGCAAACAAGATTCGTACAGAGAGTTATCAAACTCTAGGAAAGTCCCTACAAAAATTGCAATATAGGTAGCGAAAGACTTTCTTATTGGCACTATCAAATGATCGATTTACCAGGTATTACATTTGGTGGCATTTTCACTTCTCCTCCTTTTGAATACTGGTATTTTGTTTGTTTGTCTGTTTTCATATTGCAACTGTGTTTGAACTAGAGAGATGTATCTGTATTAAACAGTTGTGGTCGTCGTGTTAAATATGGGACTCGTAGCAACGTACACAATCACCTTTTATTTGCAGTCGCTTCAACCATCAGGGAAAGTTGATTGAGTTATTGGAACATTGATAAGGATGTTCCCTAGAAAGTTGCAAGTTACCCCTACATATCTTGTTTATGCCCTGTTGTAATGGTTTTTTATGTGGTTAAGTGATACCTCTCATCAGGACCACAATATTTGTGTGGAAGTGGGATCACTAAAATTCTAGAAGTTTTTTTGGAGGTGTGATTCATGTTGTATTGCTTCCAACCAATTATTGATAAAAGTTTGCATACGTCAATCAAAAATAAATATTTATTTGGTAACTAGCACCAGTGAAAATCTGGTCCATTTCACCAAGTCCAACTGTTACTAGCGGGGACACCAGGATTATACAATTTCTCAGACACGCTTCCTGTTACCTCAGGCTGCTACAGTGATTTCTATGATAGACCTTGCATTAATTTTTGCCATGTCAGTGCTGGATCTTCTCTTTGTTTCGGTAAATCACAGGCTAACCGTCCAATCAGAGATACAGAGTTATGCTTAGCAATATGATTCTCAATTTTAACATCCATACTTTTACTCTCGGCTAATAATGTTTTTGTTTTTACAAAATTCCTCATTGCACCATATTCCTTTGCAGTATGGCACACTTTACAACTATGAATATCATGATCTTTTTGTAGAGTCGCTTTTTTCATTTTTTCCATTAGATTTTTCAGTTTGAGCTTGTTGATTAGCCCCATATCGACATCATAGTGATGTGTTTTTGGAACTGTCACAGTCAACTTCGGTTGCGTGTCTTGTGAACTTTTCAGCCTTCGTAGCCTTTTCTTGAAGAATTTTTTCTCATCGGATGTAAGATTTCTAGTTCTGTCACTAACAACTTGTTCTTGCTTACCTAAATATTCATCCCGCAAACATTGCAGTTTGGAAGCAATGAACTCATTCCTAGTCACTTCTAATTTCTCCTCGTCCTCAGATTCAGAAATTAATGATTGAAGCCGCTCGTCGTCCCAACTTTCCGTATAGCTCAATTCGCTTTCAGTTTTACTAATTAAACTGCTTCGCTCGCTCACAGTTTCGGCCTCAGAACTCCCCTCGGCGTATTCACCACGTCGTTCAGTACTACTGCTCTCCGACTCACTAACATCAAAGTAAATATTCTCAAAACGAGCACTGATGCTATGCGACTCAGGTCGCCGGTCTTTGTCATACCGATGGTTTGCGTACGAACTGGAATCGGAACGCGACTCACTGCCATCATCACCGGAATCGGAAAATGTGTACGTGTACGATTTATACGGACTTGATATTGCCGTTCTGTCTTCTTCGTCTGAGTAGTCTGTTTTGATGTCAATCAGTGTTCTGATGTCAGTCAATTCGTCAATATCACTGACTAACGACATGATAGAGTCGTTCCGAGTCGTCCGATCTTGTCGATTCACGAAAAGAAACCACACAAATTACAAACATGCAGACCCGGAAGTGTATTTAAACCAGTTCTGTCGAATCAAAACTCACGACCTCCTTAGATATTGCTTTATGTCCGTTGCAGTCGTCAAACAGCGGAATTCTCGTCGTTACAACGTACAAATTGTTGACAAACCGAAGCGGGAACTCGCGCAGGAATTTCGCAGTGAGGTCGGCCTTCAACGGTGACATCGGCGTATTGGGAATTAACCAATCAAATTGAGTGACGCAAATGTTAGTATTGTCCAATCAACAGGTCACGATTGTTAAAGTTCGTAGTTTTTTCCGTGGTCTTTCAAACGTTCAAAGTAATATAAGACTTGTATTGGCAAATGTGTAAGTCAACATTATAAAAGGAAATACAAATGTAAAATTCTAAACTTTTTAAAAATAACAAATAAAATTGAATAGCATATTCTTGAATTGAAATCTAAAATTATTATATGGGTACTTACAAACAGATAAAATGCATTGTTTCTTACATGTAATATCAATTGACCCATGATACAATCATTTCAGGTAACTCATAGATATGCATGGTTATTTTATTAATTTTTAAAGAACATTTAGAAACTCAAAAGTGTCTTTGAAAACGACAACAAATAACTTAAATCAAAGCATTAATTTAACGTCACTAGTGTGGATGAATCAGAATGTGATTTTGAAATGACTGCAGTTATCCAATCACAGTGAATCAAAAACCTGTGTTCGAATTTGAAACTACATTTCTAAATACTTTCAAAATATGTGCAGTTGAAGTGACAATAGTTGTAAATGTATCTTTTTTTCTGATTTTCATTTTCAATGAAACATTTCTGGTGTTATTAATGACATTTTGCAATAGCCATGGCCAGTGGACACTGGAAGGACAGCATATACACTAAATCACTTGTTGGTTGAAAAGATGGTCACAGGGTCTCCAGTGCCATCTATTGAAATCCAGTTTTGTTCAGCGAACTTCAGGGATCATTGTACAAGATGACAAATTACCATGGACCCTGGGCAAATGTCTAATACATTGTCATATTGAAAGGCTAAGCCTCTATCTGACAGCCTTTCACTGGTGTCATTTCCCATTCATCATGCAACACAATTTTCTACGGTTCCCAGCGCATGACCGATTTCAATGAAATGGCAACTAGTCAACCCTTAGTTTTCACATTTTATGTGTAATTAGTCTTGTGTAGGGTAAATTTGTCCATGCAATTGTGTTTAAAGCAATAATTTGGTAAGAGTTGGTCATCTTTATGTGGTTATATTTAAACACAAAATATTTAAAATCACATCTACCGAGTATTACCACTTTATCATTGATTGTCAAACCAGACAGTACGTTTTTGCATCGACCACCAATGCACGCCGGTCGATACTTCTGCTGTACTGTCTTCGTGCATACTTTGAGGTATCTTCGCAATAACCTCATATTATTCCTCCTCAACTTGCCGAGTTTTATTGTCAACTCACATCCATTTTGACATTATTGAAATACAGACCAACTATTCAATTTTAATTGCTGAGGTTTATTTTGTGTGAACAAACAATACAATTACCAAAATGATTTGTCATGTAATTTATTAACCCTCAAAAGCAAAAGTCAACTTTGGTCTTATTTAAAAAAAATAAAACCCACATTTTGTTCAGCGAATTTTGATCAAGATCTTTGGCTAATAAGGAATTATATCGACTTTGTCAAATATTATTTAAAAAATAAAAGAAAAATACATGAAAATAAGCAAAAAGTAAAAACAGGATGTCATGTGACATGCTTTTATGATAATAATACACAATAGCCAGCAATTGAATATCAAGTTTTTTATTTCCTAAAAAATTTCACCATGTGTATGCATGTGGTGGATAAGTTTATATCGCAAAACTAGGCGTTGGGGTGTTCTTTTCGTCACATAAAACGAACTGACTAATCATGCGGAATTGTTATTGAAACGGACATCGATTGCGTTGTGTTTTCTTGAGTTGAACAGACGTGAGATATAATTCAAATTGGTTTATTTGTACTCAACATGAACATCAATACGTTGTACAGCAAATACTTCTTGGTATAAAATATAGATCGCTAAATAATAGCTCCATGAGGAGTTGGCATCGTAGAGAGCATAGAAAGGAGGGTGTGCATAACGAGCATCAAGTTGCGAAGCTACCATAGAAGGAATTACAGCGACGGCCTGAATCGGACTTCTCACGACAGCGCTTTGCCTGGTTAATGTAATTGTCAACGTTAGAGCGGCATTTGTCTCGGTGACAGCTAATCGGAGAAGTGCCAAACACGTGTTTGTACTCTATCATGCCAAAAACGTTCCGAAAATAAAACAACGCTAATGATTGGCGCATACAAACGAAACATAGCGCTGTCATTCCATATTAGGAGTGACACGCGACTAACACGAGGGAGAACTTTGGTGGGAATTTTGGGCGGTAAACAGACAAGTACCACGAGAACGCAATGGGAAACAATGTAGCGAACGTTTGGATATAGCGTCACGGTTGCTACAGAAACCGATCTAGTCTCTCAGGACTCAACTCGTGGTTATCAAAACAATGTCTGAAATTACAAACTAGCTTGGAGAACATCATACAGAAAGTAAAATTTGTTCATGTTAGATAACTGCGCGCGACAATGCAATTACTGTCTCACCGGAAGTTAATTTGTGCTCGGCAATGGAAGGATTTAAAAAAAAATTGAAATTGGCAAAAAAGGCTGCTCATTTTTCTTCAGTAAACGTGATGCTTTTAGGAATATTTAAAACTTCATGCTTCAGAATACATACTTTTATAATGGTGTTATATGTCACCTGATCACGCTAGTGTATTGATATATAAAAAGTAGGGCAATTGGTGTAGTTAAAAATTGTGGAATAAGCAATATGTCAACTGTGAAAGGTCTCTGGTTTCTTTGTGATGTTTCGTGTGTTCCCAAGAAAACAAATCACAATATCAAAATGTACACATTACAGGAATCTCAATGTACAAACATACATGTTAGGAAACATTTGGTAATATTTCAAGAGGGTTCTCATCAGTCAACTTTAAAATCTGAAAAAAAAATAAAGTTTGGAAAAATTAATTGTCCTAATTGTCTAATAATTTCTTTTTTAATCAAGATACATATAAGTAAACAATTGTCTGTATTATATAAAGTGGGGAGTATTTAGCCTTTAATTTCGAAAATTTCTAGTGGTGAAAATTATACAGTTTACAATATTCAACTGCGGAAATGTTCTTGATTTGAAGGTGTTCGCACATATTAGATTTCACCTAAGCCATTTTATGTGGTTTCAATCTGATTGAAACAGGATCTATTGTATTAGTTTTTGTTCATAATGTTTATAGTAATTAATGTTTCTGTCAGTTTTTAGTCTAATTGCTTGGTCAGAGTTAAAGGGCAGTGGTCATCACGCAGCCTGTGTTAGAATTTCATATAACGATGCATTTTACATGCGTTTTGTACATCACTATGTGTTCCATATCAAACAGGATACAGTGTAACACATTTTACCACTCACTAAATTGAAACGATTCACAATATGTCTGTACACTCACCGTTTTCATCATACGAGACATTTTGTAAATAAAGTCCATCAGCGGGAGCCACAGTTAATTGAATGCATTGTCGTTGATCTAATGATGTCTTAATATCATCAACTTCTATCATCCCGTTACCCACGGCAACTAGTGCTGATGTGATTCTTCTCACCTACATTATACAACAAAATACTATTAATTTTGTTTTCAGTCAGAAAACATGAGAAGGGTCTAAACCATTGAGACAGCTAGGTTAGGGTAACAGCCGAGCAGCTGGTGTTCGGGTCTCTGTTTACGGGTGGCCTACCAAAAAATAAAATTCTCCCCAGTCACTGTCTGTTTCGGGCCGATTTCTTGCTATCCGCGCATTTTCACAAGCCCAAATACCACTCAATAGACTCTATATAGTGAGTTTTAACAACATTACGAAGGCTTAATGCCACTTTAAACATTGAATAAAACGACGAGTTGCAGCATACGGACCTTCAACGGGGGACGTCTTATAGCACATGCTCGAACGTTATGTAAACGAACAATGTATTTTTTACACGCATGAATGTAATTGGTCAGCAATGGTACTGGGTGCCTACGAGTCTCATCGAAATCATGAAACATTACTACAACCATGCACCGCCATTTTAACTTGGATATTAGCATATGTTGAATACTAAGTAACTTGTTTCTGTATATGTGATAGCTTCACCATTGAATGATGGTAATTTAAAAAACTGTTATAATACTTTCGATATAGAACTGTCAACTTACAGTAGAATTTTACATAATTCCGAAACATGGGTTTAATTATGCTGAGATATCAAAACTTCTGTCTTCAAAAAAAAAAAAGTACAAATGTCTGAGGTGAATGACCCCTTAGCTGCATCTCTCGGAAGGCATGAAGGCATGCGGGTGATATCGATATCCTCTAAGCTTATCAAATAACATGGTGGCAATATAATATATAGTTCTAGAGGCGCTGGTTGCTTTTAGTCTGAGGTCATCTACATCTGACCATCTATCTAGGCAAATAAGATTAACAGCTCTATAATGGGACTGTCAACTAATTAGCCTTACTAAAGGAGGCTACTGTGAATTCATTAATTATTCACTGGGTTTTAATTTGGCTATTTTTGATAAGTGAAATCTGCTAAATTAAATCTACATGAACATGTAAAATAACAATAAAACTCATTGTTTCCTTGACAAATTCATGAAATTAAAACACAGTTAATATGATGAACTCGTCAAAATAGTGAAAATAAATGTCAGTGAAAATAAATGGTTTTACAGTAAGTCATTCTTGCCATAAGCATCTTGTAACACAAGTTCTGATTGGCTGGAATGCGAATAGCATGGGTAGCTGGACAGATATGTAATTTGAAGCATGCACCCTAATGGAGATAAGCTGGTGACCCTAGCTAGCTATACCTACATCACGTATTAATCGTGTAGATGAAGTGAGGTGAGGCGAGGCGAGGCAAGGCGAGACAAGGTGAGGTGAAGTGAGGTGAGGTGAGGTGAGGTGAGGTGAAACGAGGCAAGGCATGGCAAGGCAAGGCGAGGCGAAGCTAGTTATACACAGTCCTCAAGTACAGTGTGTTTCCATTTTCTTTCACGTTTTATCAACTTTAATAAGTCATAGAACTGTGCCAACAAATGTATAGAAATTTTACAAAAAAATCCTTAACATGGCATGAAGTTGCTCATCTTAAGAGATGAAAAAAAAAAACACTCACAGACAAGGAAACTTAATTTATTCCAATAACTGACAAAATGTTCCAGTACAAATTAGGAATATTAACAGAAACTGTCCCAAAATACTGATAACTAAAACTACAGCCTCTAAATGTACAACTTTCTTGATATGTATCTTCTGCAAACAGCAAAGATTTATTGAAGGCATGTCATTAATGCAAAGAATAAACAATATAGAATGTGTGGTAAACAAGTGTACCATAATGAATTGGCACTTTGTGTTATATTTGATAAATACTGTATTTTACTGTATTTTAAAAATGCATCTCTCATAGAAGTGCATGCAAAACTAAAATTACAGTTATACCTTTTTTATTATGTATTAAAGTAAGCACTTCTAATAGAACAAATATGGTATATCAAACAACCCAAATTTGAGAATGATTAACTGATTATTCCGAATATATATTTCTAGAATATATACAGTGGGAATTACTTTATTGGAAATGCATTCCCAAATAGAAGTGCACATAACATTTGTTTTTGACCATATACCACTGTCATATACTTATGTGCAGGTGCTAAAAATACAGCAAATACAGTAGGTCAAAAATTTGTCAAAAATTTGCATAAATTACATCAAGTTGCTGTTTTTTATATATACATTATCAAGCGCTGGAAACAAATACAATGAATTCCTTGCAAAAAACAATGTTTTTCAAAATTCGGGTGGCAAGGTGATTCTTTTTTTTTTTTGGCTGAAATAATTTAAGAAACAAATTTTGCAAGTTTAACAACAGAGGGCAGTAGCAAAATAAGTGAAAAAAAAGCCCACACTTTTATTGGTGGTGTACACATTTAGCCCTAATTGATCAACACACCTGTAAGTAACAAAGTGTTTTGACTGAACACATGTGCATATGAATCAGAGAAGACATACAGCAAAATAGAATAGAATAGAATAGAATATTGCTTTATTACAACGTTAAAGAAAATTTGACAATTCTTTTTTGGTTTCTACACATGTAGAAGGTAATAAAGTTAAAAACAAACAAAACAAAAAGTGTGACAAAATGAGTCTTGTGTCCATATTATAACAATTTGTTAAAAATAAAATCCAATCACAAAAACGTAATATACACATATCAACTATTATGACTTAAATGTCACTATACCAACTTTGAACCAAATCACTCAAAGTATTGGCTGAGAAATGACTCAAAAAACCAAGAAACATATTGGCCAACAGTCGGCCATTTTGAATCAAAACATAAAAAAATGGTGCACTCACCGCATTTAATGATTTTCATTTTGAAAATATTTACATTATACACAGAATCACTTTGAGCAAATATCTGACACTTCCTCTTCAACATTGTGCACCGTATAACTGCCTTCATTAATTGTATTTGACCAAGAAATAATGTTACCACTTGCACTACACGGCATCACCAACTGAGAAATCTCTTGTGAACCAAGTTGTCTATCCCACATATTAAACTGTGTAATTTTCCCAACAAAAGATTTAGATCTGTCAAGTATGGTAACACCATGATTATGGCCAAGATATATATCGCCATTTGCTAGCAAGGTTTTTGAAGTGTTACCAAATGGGTACATCCATGATGATTGATTTGGATGAATTCCATCAACGTACACTACCATTTTACTCCCATCAACAACCTCTAAACAAATATGATGCCACAGACCATCAGATGGAAAATAAGAGGAGGGATTCGGGGGAGCACACATGGACCCTTTCATATGTTGAATGCATATCCGATGCGTCAACAAAGTAATACTATAATAAAATGGATATTGTTTCAAAGAATGAGATGTTTCGTAGTGAACAAGTTCTCGTTGCTCGTCACTAAAATTTGTATTCTTCATCCACAAACACATTGTGTAATCCTTCATATGCGGGATACCATCTTGACTTGATAACACGACGGATGAATTTCCACTGAAGTTGAAAGTTTTCATTACATTATTAATTTCTGAAATAGATAAAAAATGATATCATAAAGGCTGGTATTCTCACAATTCATACATATTCATACAATTCACACATTTATTGAATCTATTACATTAAAAATGGAAATGAATGCTGTACAAATGTTCACATCACATTTGGAATATCAGTTCGTCAGTAAGATGGCTTGCAACTTTACAAGACACTTCAATGCCTTTTGCTTTGTTCTAGACTTGGTGCCGTGGTGCTTAGCGCGATTCACTATTTTATGGGGATCGTCAACAGGATTATTTAATTGCTAAATTAGTGTACGTACTTAATATCCATTCTTCACTTCTGACGTATCTTCGAATATGACGTATTTCTGACATTTCTAGATGTATGTGATTCAAGAATGTTAACACAAATCAAAATAAATATAAAAGTGTATCATTTTGAAAAACTGTACTTTACCCCCGTCTAGTATGATAATGAAATGATCTAATAAAGCTGTGTTTGTGTCTATGGAACGACGTCGCCGTCGCCGCCAAGTCTAGATTGAACAAAACACAAAGTGTTTGTAAAGTTGCATGTCATCTTTCTAACAAATGGTCTGCATAATTCTTGAAATTTCAAGTTCCGCCAATACGTTGGTGATGGGTAAAAATATACAGAATATATTTTCATTCTGTGGCCTGAACTATTTCGTCTTATCAATTAAATTGTTTTAGAATAATAAAATATTTGTTAAAAAGATAGTTTAATGACCATTGGCCAACAAAACTATTGGAGGCATTGAACACAAGTGGAAACATTGGCGTTAATTTAGTTTGGAGCTTTAGTTTATAATTTTGTATTTATATTGACTCACACTGCAGCCTCTTATTGATTGCACATGTCCAATTTCTACCTTTGTCATCTTCGGACCTCAGACTTTCTTGCCTAAATTTGTTGACACTTTTTTTCTTACATTCTTCAATATTTCTGGAAATGAACCCTAATTTTGGAGCCAACAGACAGAATTTGAGTCAATTTTCAGTTTTTAACTCAAAAATTTGGCTATTTTTCCATAATCTTCTGAAGGAAAGTGCAGACTATTAACTGGACTATTTTGTGAATTTGAGGGAACTGGTAGTGAAAAGGTTAAGTTTCACATGTATGTTAAATATAAGTTATAATGTGAGTGAGTACATTACCATTGCTGTCGCTGTGAGTACTGGTTTGACTAGACAGTGACATCCTCTTCATGTCATCAACATTATTGGTTTGGTTAATCTGCTCTTGTAGATGTTTAAGTTGTACTCTCTGTTCTAAAACTGTCTTTTCCAGGGACTCCACTTTCCGCTTCAGCTGCTCATGGTTTGTTACTTTTAAGACCACCTCCGCCATATCGGGGCACACATCCACAGAGTCTCCACGCGGTAATAAAAACGTATATGCACATTTACTGTCATAAATGTATCGCTGTTGATAGTCAAAAAACCTGTGCATGCCAGGTGTTCTAAAAATTATTCCCATGGCAATGACCAGTACCAGAATGAGGATGAAATAGAACAACTTTGCAATAGAAACAGACATGGTTAATTGGAATCTACAGTGACCACTTGCCAAGTTTCTACGTTATTTGTATTCACCACATTAAGATGTAAAATCAATACCATAAACAATGGTAGACATGTGACATCATGCTGTCTGGGTCAGTGAATTACAGTCATTCATACGTCCATATATTATAGTACATAATTGTAACCTTGACAACTTAAACATGCTAAAACTTTTTGATGGTTAACCATACAACATGCCATCTGGATCAGTGAACTACAGTCATTCCTACGTACAAATGTTACTTATTGATTTAATTTTCTAATTGTTTAATTTAGTTTGTTATTTTTTAAGCTACTGTAAAATGACTAATTTTCACTGGGTTTAAATTTCGCTGATTTACCATTTCAGGCATATTCAGTGGGTTTTAAATTCACTGTTTCATCATTTAGACAATGCATTCTATGCTAAATATTACATATTCACTGGGTTTTAATTTAGCGCATTTTCCAGTCAGCGAAATTAGCAAAATTAAAACCCAGTGAATAATTAATCCTTTTACAGTAGCTGTTGTTTATTTAAACAACATACTACATTTGTATATAGTTGTTTCATTGACGAAAAGGAAAAGCATTTGACCATGTTTGAAGAGATGGCTTATACTTGAAATTACAAAATTTAGGTGATAACGGAAATCTTTACAATCTTAGTAATTAAATCTACCGGTATGTACACAAACACTGAATATAAAGTTAAGCTGCCATCAGGTGGTAATGAGAGCTTTGAATCCACTTGTGGGGTAAAACAAGGATGTAATCTGTCCCCAACATTATTCAGTATCTTCCTATTTAACCCTGTATTAATTAATGGTAATCCCTTAAGCTGTATTCAATATGCGAACGACCTGGTTCTAGTATCCAACACTGCAGAAGGCCTACAAAATTGCCTCAATAAATTACTGCACTGAATGGAACCTCACTGTAAATACAAAGAAAAGAAAGATTTATGGGTATGATTATCTTCAATAAAGGTAAACTTTTATTAAAAAATAAAAGCTTCAAAATAAATAATCAAAATATAAACTCAGTAAAAGAATTCAGTTACCGGGGCGTAACTTTCACCCCCAATGGAAATTTTAAGCTCAACAACCAAATGTTGAAAAATAAAAATAAAAATAAAGCCATGAAAGCATTATTCACAATAAGAAACACTATACGAAGTAATAAAATGATATCACCAACTATATGTATCAAAATGTTTGACCAACTTGTATCGTCAATTTGAATGTACAGTTCAGAAATATGGGAATGTGAATTATTAAATGTCAACAATGTCTTAGAACAGGTTTGTAGCTCATTTTATCGTTTTATTCTTGGCGTTAATAAAATGACACCCACAATAGGTATAAGGGGTGAACTTGGCAGGTTTCCTATCAAAATTAAAGCAGATATTTATGACGCAGACACTGTAGTACAATGAAAAATATATATATTGCCAATAAGGGGGGGGAGGCTCACCGAATCCCATCTAAGCTGCACTAAAGCAACGAAAGCTAACAGAGAAATGCGAAAATACCCCCAAAAACGTATCAGAATAGTAAAAAATGCATAAACAAAAGTATAACCATCAACACTGTATAAAAATGGGTTAAAATTAGTAAATGAGATGTCCTGGTAGATGTAGCATGACTACAACTACAATGATATATGGTAGAAGCAGCCTGACTGCAACTACAGAGTAACGGTAGAAGCAGCGTGACTGCGACTACAAGGTAGTTACCGAATAACTGTAACTACAGGAATGTTAGATGGTAGAGGTAGCTCTACTGGTAGATACATTGGTATTGTACTACAAAGAATTTATTAGTATATGTAGGTAGCAAAGCTACAAGGTAGAAATGGCGAGCACCATAACTACAATGGTAAATGAAGTGATGGTGAAAAGTAGGTACCGTATTTAAAAAACAGTACTAAAGAAACTATAAAAACAATACACATTGCCACAATAAAATACTGGCACAGATTGAAATCTCTACCAGAAAGTCACATCCTTCAAGATGCATTAAAAAAATCAGAAAAAAATAACATAAACTGGATTAAAAATATTCTTGATGAGTGTGAACTTGGAAATGATAAAGAAACCTACAATGGTAAAAATAGAAAACAACTAACAAAGGAATTACAATCACAGCTGACAGATACATATAAACAGACATGGAAAAATCAAATTAGAAATATCAAAGGCACAACTGGACAAGGTAACAGATTAAGAACATGAAGTATTTTTAAAAAAGAATTTGAAATGGAAAATTACTTGACAGTACTAATTTTATTCAGAGGCAATGTCTGTCTAAATTTTGTCTGAGTGATCACAATTTAGGAATTGAATTAGACAGAAGAACAACACCAATCAAAGAAAGCTTAGAAAGAACTCCCGTGTGCCAAGAGTATTGAAGACACATTAAAAATTAATTAAAAATTACTTGTACATGAGATATTGATGGAAAAGCTGAAAACTAATTATGTAAATCAGGTAACTAATATGAACAGAACAGAACAAAACAATTATGAATTATTATACTAACTAGAGAATTAAAATAGTGAATTAATATGAACAAATTTTAACCCAATATTAATCAGGCCTGTTTATTATCCTAGAGCATTTATGTACCAAATTTTATTCAAATGTGATGATCAGTAATTGAGATATCAGTGTTAATTAATTATGTTAATTAGGTGATTAATAAGCATAAATATTTACCAAAAACTATTTGGGTCTTTGCATAGTTCTCTTTAAAAGTTTCATTAAAATCCAATTTGTGGTTCCTTATATATCAGTGGAAAATTATACAAATTAGGTAATTAATACCCAATTAAAACTAATCAGTTCTCTGCATAGTCCTAGAAGATCTATGTAACAAATGTCATTGAAATGTGATGATTACTACTTGAAATATCAAAAGCTGAAAATTAATTAATTATGCAAATTAGGTAATTAATATGTACTGATATTACCCTAAAAATCAGGTTTGTGCAGTGTCCTATAACATCTATGTACCAAGTTTTATTGAAATGTGATGATTAGTACTTGAGATATCAGTGGGAAAAGCCGAAAATTGATTAATAATTATGCAAATTAAGTAATTAATATTGCAGATTTTTACCCAAAACTAATCAAATCTGCGCATTAGTTTGGAGCATCTATGTGCCAAGTTTCATCAAAATCCAATGAGTGGTTCTTTAGATATCAGTGAAACAGTCATGGAACAGCTAAAAATAAGCTAATTATCATGCAAATTAGGTAATTAATATGCATGAATTTTTACCAAAACCCAATCAAATCTGCGCATTGGCCCAGAGCATCTATGCACCAAGTTTCATCAAAAATCAATGTATGGTTCTTGAGATATCAGTGGAACAGACGGACACACATATACACATACATACATACATACACACATACACACACGCACACACACACACACACACACTAACTGCAAAGACTTCCATTGTGTGCTTCGCACACTGGAGTCAAAAATACAAATGGAGAAGAGAATATGTACATATGATGAAAAACACCTTATTTTGAAGTGCACACACTTCAATAAAGAGCGAGAGATATTATTCTGAGAGTGCAAAGAAGACATTACAAATACAAATAATAACACATACATCTTCTCTAAAATTAACAGTGAAAATAACAGTATATCTCTGTCAACATTTTTAAAAAACACAATATTTAAGCCAAAAAAATAAAAAAAGGGGGGGGGGACATCGTCCGCATGCACGGTGTTTTTCCGTTTGGACATTCCTCCCTCTACGAATACAATCGAACTCGGCCAAGAAAAAAATGCACAACTCGGCCAGTTGTGAATGTCGAGGTGTAAACTGGTCATTGGTCAACAATTGTCACCTTCTTTCACGTCTGTTGCCGTGGCGGCATTTTATTTCCAGATGTTATATGCCACACAACACACCCAGTGACGCATCCGTTTCACTGACTGTTTTTGACTTACTCCCGTGACTGTTTTATTGTCGATTTCAACAACGCAAGTTTAGATACATACACACACAAACGCTACTGGTTCTCGGACACGTTCAAGTTGTTGATTTCAACATTGGCTGAACATTGTCGATTTCAGTGACGCAAATTTTCTTTTCAA